AGGAGCGTCGGTGTCCATCGAACGACATGAAGCCAAGCCAGCGGAAGCCGCTGTATTTTAATTCGCTGCACTATTCATATCGTTGTAAAGCTCATACAGTGAACATTTTAGTGCACTCCATTGCTTTGCAATTGAGCCTGCTTCAGCAAACGTTAAGGCTGCTGCAGAAAACTGCAAATTGCAGATTAACACAATTTAAACTAATTTTTCACTTATAATTCAAATTTCTCTTTTGCTGATTTGTAAACAAAGGTTTATTTACAAGTTACCACAACTGTCAAAATCGGCAAACCCAAAGTAGCGGTACCACTGACGGCGCCGATTGCAGCAGAATTCGTGAGAGTAATTTTGGCATAGTGATGTGCTGAATTGTCGGTACCCAATACATACTTAAAAAAGTTTTCGGTACCCAACACTTCCTTATCGGTACCTGATACTGATTCTTAACATTAAACCTTCGCCATTATATGTATTTCAAGTTTAGAAAAAAAATTTAATTACTAATTTATTTGATATCGGCTAAAACACTTGAACTTATCGCAACAGAGAAATATTATTTTATCAGTTTTAACCCTAGTCAAGAAAAATACTTTGACGGATGAAGAAGCCTTTCAGGGGGGAGATTCTGTAACCAGTTAGCGACAAGTTTCGGATCGATATCGCACTTGTTGACGTAAAAATATTTCATATCATACGTCAACAAAACCCATACCGATTCGAAAATTGTCGCTAACTGGTTACAGAATCTGTCGCCAACTGGTTACAGAATCTGCCTACAAAAATGATATCGTTCGATTCAGATGGAACAAAAATGCTTCAAACAAGTAAGAGTTTCGCTGTATTATGGCCTCGAACCGACATATACACATCTTTCATTTAAATTAGTATTAAAAGCTCTATTGGCTCCTACATTCCGTTTTTGATAGGCGAGTCTCCCCTGAACCGTTTTTTCCATATTTTTGGCCTATGTGCGCTTTTATTCGAAAACTAAATGTTTCGGTACCGAGTATCGAGAGTATTGGATACTTAAAATTATTGACTCAGCACATCACTACTGCTGTCAACTCGACTGTGACGTCAGAAAAATAGCTGGTTCTGTCAAATTCACTGAGAGGCGATTAGCGGTATTGCCATCGGTGCCACCTTCTGTATTCTCTCCACCGTGGAGGTTATGTTATTTAGTTATTTGGTTATGCTTTTCGTTCGTTATTATAAAAGTTTATAGAAGCATTTGTTCTTGAATTGAATTTATATTCGGATTAAATAGGCCCAAAAATCAGCCGATTTTTTGCAGATTAAATCCTGTAGCCCGTTTCTGTAACTTTTCTCTACCGATTATTTCTCTACTGGTAAAGAAAATACGTCACTCTCACCTACTAATTAGAATACAAGATTGCGCCGATCAGAGAGGATTTTTGAGAATAACTTTTATGTGACGTCACACTGGTGCAATTGCGAGAGAGAAATGCCAAAACGTGAGCAAGAATGGAAGAAGAAGAAAAAATGTTGCAAGGAAAATGTAAACAAGTTGCACCAGTGTGACGTCATGCAAACAACGATTCTGTCAAATTCGTTAAGAGAGGAATAGCGGTCCGAGATCGGCGCAACCTTTGTATTCTCTCAATCGTGGTAATTAGCAGTAGAGAACAGGGCGGCGAATTCATATCTCAATTCGCCTTGGTAGAGAATTGTTACAGAAACGAGCTACTGAAAATAATTGAATTTCAAGAACGAATGCTTTTATAAATTTTTATAATGTTACGATTATCCTCGAAACCTTGTGGGATTACCCAAATATACTCGGGCTCGTATCGCTGGATTGTTAAATAAATGCTAACGATGACCGAATTGAAGTACAATTAACTTTATTGTACAACAAACAATTTACAATACTTGCTAATACAGTAAAAACACTTTACAATACTTGTTAAAGCAATAACAACGCTTTACTACTTGTTAACACAATTAAACTTATAGCTTGCTTATTCGCAACTCAATTATCCGCTCACTTTACTTGTAGCTTGCTGACTAGTAACTTCGTAACTAACTCAACTCCGCTGTGGCGGCGCCCTTATATACCTGCGCTGGCACTTATGGCAACTCTAGAACATTCTGAAGTTTATCGATCATTCTCTTTCTCTCGCTGTTCGCAGTGTTCATCCAACTTCACGTTTCTCTTTGTGGAACATTCTACGTCATTCCTCGAACATTCTGCCTATTTCTCGTTGTTCGCTTTGTGTTGCCGCAGTATTCGCCACAATAATAACAAAAGAAAAACATAATCAAATAACTAAATAAAAATACCTCATTCCTGAATGAGCAAAAATCGGCAGTGTCCGATTCTTTTGGTCGATACTAGCCTCGGCATCGCCTGAATGATCGGTCAGACTCTAAAAGCGAAGGTACACAACATTCGTTCGTCAGCAAATGCGTGACGCCGTCAATGTCAAATAAAATTGAACACGTGTGTTTGCATGACAGCTGTTACAGACGACGCCATTACGAACGCGTTATGCCTGGATTATAATGCACGGGGCAAATCGTAACAAATCGCGGCGAATTCGTAAGGATCTATTGATTTTAGATGCTTCTGTTTTACGTTGCGTTCAAGTGCATTATAATCGTTCGAATTCATTGCCAATACAATACATAATTAAGTGACAGTTCACTCCGTTCCGTTACTTCCATTATAATCCAGGCATTAAATCAGTTGCCGTCGAAAGTAAACCAAGTCGCTTCTTTTCTGTTGCGTTCATGCGTTGACATTTGAAATTACATTTGTGAATATGCTTAGCAGCTGTTTTTTGTTTACAAAACAATGAGCGGCGCGACGCAAAGTGTGTAACAGCAAATTTTTTAACGTCGTCAGCGCACAAACGGATCAACGCAATGCCGCATCAAATAAAAATATGTACCTTCAGCTTAAAACCATGTTTTGACTGACAACGAAAACACTTTGAAAACGGGCTTTGGGATTATGGGCTGAATACCATGTTCTGACCGACAACGAAAACACTTTGAAAACGAGTTTTGGGATTGTGGGCTGAAGACTGTTCACACCGGCTGTTAGTGTTTTCGTTGACATTTCTTATGCCATGTTCTGGCCGACATCGAAAACATGTTTTCGTTGCTAAAACTGGTTTTCGACCTGAAACTTGTGTTTTCGTCCATGTAAAATCTGTCAAACTAAAACCAGTTTTCGCTGAAAACTACTTGAAAACTCACATTCCACTCATTCCAATCGGTGTCTTCACTAGTTTCTTTCGATTATTTATCAAAGTGGAAGTCATATTTTAACAACTTTAACATGATTCAATAATACAAGGTTGGTAAATATTGACATTTGTTTCAATCGACTGCCTTGTAAGGTTGCATTTGAGAAGGAAGAGAAAGCGGGTAACCATTTCATCCCTTTTTGTGAAAAGATAGTAGAAAAAGTAGTGTGGTAGTGCTGAAATGGGGTTTTATTCATAGGGACTATATGAAGAAATATACAAAAAGTAATGATGTAATTGATATAATGCATATAAATTAATCTATTAAAAATTATTTTTGTTGCATTTAAAAATTACATGGTAAATATCTTGAATTGAATTATATTTGGTTTTTTACAAATTTCAATTTTCTAGTAATGTTTTCTACGATTTTCTGCAAATCAGTCTTGTTAATAATTATATTAGTTACATTTAAAAATTATACCATTAACAGCTTAACTTGAATTACATTTGCTTTAAAAATGTAAATTTTTGGTAATGTTTTCTATTACATATCGCTTGCGCATCTGCTTAAAAGCCAACGGATGTGGACAGTATCCGCTTTATTTATTTACTTCTCCACTTATTTTAAAGTTACATACAAAACACCAGTATATCGCAAACCGACTTCAAAAGAGTCACAACTCAAAATTTGTAATTTTTGAAATTATGCACAGAGCTTTTATTTACCTTTCAGAAAAATCTGCAGAATTTTTTTTTTATAATTTGTTAAAAAAAACCTAAGGTAAACACGCCCTTGAACCTATGATAACCATTTCCTTACAAACGTATTATTACTTGAATTTGCACAATAGAAAAATGAATTTCCACAAAACAATCGATGAAAATATCGGCAGTGTTGCCTGTTGAACTTTTTATACGAACACAATATTTCTCCTTGTATTTTAGTAGTAGTTTCTATAAATCAAAAAAGAAAGCAACACAGGCTAAGGTAGAATGCGGGAGCGAGACAACTGCCCGGTTATCCAACCTTGTATTATTGAATCATGAACTTTAATACGCCATTTCGGATTTATTGTTAATTGGCTGGCAAACAAAAATAAGAATGAAAGTAAGAGGTTGCTAATGAAAAGAAAATGAGGGAAAAGCATTTTGGTTTGGTTTTTGCGTAGCGAAACTGTAATCAGAGGATGGAGTGAACGTGGAACGTGAGTTTTCGACATTGTGCATACCAGTGTTGCCAGGACTTCAGCATGAGGAAACGTCCCTCTTGGTCTGAAAAAACGTCATTTCCTAACCAAAAACTTCTTTTTCAAATGAATGTACAAAAAATTGTTCTTATTTAAACTTTTATTGTATGCAAAGGTACGTATCGGGCCCTAACCGCCAAAATAACGTTAGCGACATTTTTTCAAAATTTTCTTTTTGATGCAGAAATATTCCTAGAGCATCTAGATGCATTTCTGCATCAAAACTAAAATTTTGAAAAAAATGTCGCTTACGTTATTTTGGCGGTTAGGGCTCGATATGTACGTAAGGTATGTTAAAATATCATTTCGAAAGAGCACATTTAAAATTCATTGTAAACTAGTCTGAGATCGTTAATATAAAAATCATATTATATATACAATTGTGATCAACTGATTAAGACATCAAGATTTTGATCGATTTTGGCTGTTTCTCTATCGGTTATTTAATGTTTATTATTTTTCCATAAAAGCCAAGCTCATTAACAAACAAAATATAAATCCACAAATATTGTGCAAAAATTATAAACCATCTGCAAATTTTCAGCTAGATTTTCAACTTTCTACTCAGATTTTTTAGCCCATTAAATTGCAGGGCAATAATGTGCAAGTTTTAAGGAGCTATATAATCACGTTGATTTTTAATAGTTTTTTTTTCTTGTAGAAATTTGGTTAGGAGCGCGGTTGTCGAAAATGCTAAATTACATTCTGCTAAAGAGGAGCATCGCAATAGGTCCAATCAATATCAAAAAAAATTTTACAAATTGTTACTAGTACTTGCAAGTTTTTACTGAAAATGCATTCAATTATCCAAAATATTTGTAAGAGTTAGCGAATTCGAGAGCGTAACAATCCGAGAGAGCTGCAAATTCTTGCAAGTAAAAATTTTATTAGCGGGAATTTGCAGGAGTCCAAAAGTAAGGTCATGTTTCAAACTCCAATGTAAACAAACTGTTTAAGAGGATGATTTGATGAAACATAATAGTCAAATGAAAATATGGATAAAAAATTTTAATCTATTGTATATTTTTTACTTTTATGACGATGAGAACTATTCCCAATTAAAAAGAAAATTGCGCGCCAAAACTTAAGCGTCAGAAAGTGTCAAAATGACTTAAGTTGCAAGTTTTTACTAGTTTTGCGTTCAATAACTTTTTCTGAAAATTTTCTCTTGCTCTCAATTTTACTCTCTATTTTTCTTTTACGCTCTCGATGCAAGTACTTACTGGAAAAGTTATTGAATGGACCTAATATTTCAGTCTTTTTTACGTTCAGTACATTTTCAATGAAGTCTTAAAAAAGTCGCCTACTTTTTTCTGACGTTTTATGCTGCACAGCTTCTTTGGTGCTTTTGCGATAGATCGGCTCTACCTGATTTGGCTTTTAATGTGCAATAGCATCATTACAGCAAGCCTCGTAACCTCAAGTGTTTACACAACCAGCCTTTGAACAAGGGATCCTTAGTTCAAGAATCCAAAAAAAAAAAACCTTTGGAGGAAGAAAAATAACTGGGAAGTCAAAAAACGTCATTTTTTACACAAAAAACGTCCAAACATCAACAGGGTCCAAATGACGTTAAAAACGTCAACCTGGCAACGCTTGTGCATACATACAAGTGACAACTGTTCTTCTTCTGCCTGGAAACAGTGATCGGAATCAAAAATTTGTGTGGTAGAATCTGGAAAAAAATGTGTTAGATTTCAAAAAAATGCGGTAGATCTGAGGATTTAACAAATTCTGCAAGGCTTCACATAAATTGCAAACATATTATTTAGAATCTAAAAAAATTAATTTTACTATAATAAAGTGCAAGATTGAAGTTGCTAAAAAATGCGTTGAGTTTTTTGGCAATTTTCCTTGAACGTGTAAAAGCAGTTCCTTCCATATCAAGAAATTTTTCGAAAATATTTTGAAAGATTTCTGCAACCTGGCGGAGTGCTGTCAGCTTTTCTTTTTATCACATAACGATGTAGCGAACAAATGTGTCACTTTCCTGAAACCGCTACTTAGGATTTGCCGATTTTGACGATTCTCAAGTAAAAGTAAACAACGCTGTAGAAATTTTAGATGCACTGAAATTTCCTAATAGTTTCACAAAAATCGCCGTTTTTTAACATTGTCGCTATTTATTATTTTTATAATTATTTTTATAAAACCACGTTTTCGAAAAATTGAATATTGAGAAAATTTAATATTTTACAGTTTATGTTATGACCCCATTCTGCCTTTTATTGTTTAGTGTTGGACAATTTTTGCTCTTAAAATTAAGAAAATTATGTCGATCAAAATAGAAGTACTCAAAAATGCGAATTTGTGGTAGATTTCCGACCTTGTGTGGTAGATGCCACCCACAATGTGGTAGAAGTCCTATCACTGCCTGAAAACCCCCTGGAAAATACATAGAAATATCCTGTAAAAACGTAGAAATAGGCTGTCAAAATGTTAGACAGGGTGTTTGAAGGGATGTAGAAAAAGCCTAAAGTTATTGAAATAACCTTAAAAATTGGCCAAATATGCATTGATTTAAATGAATTCCAATGTTTATATAGCAGTTTAATATTTTAAAGCATTTTGGTCAACTTAATAGAACTTTTCTTGCTGGTTTTGTCAGAGTCCGTTTAAAGTTTTTTTTAATATATATTGAGTGTTACCCTGTACCACATAGAATCAGGTGATCTCAGCTATGAGGCATTTCGGGAAAACATCTGATTCCTTTTTCACTTGTAAGTATGCACAATGGTTTTCGAGTAGTTTTCAGTGGAAAATGGGGTTCGTTTGACAGATTTTACATGCGTGACAACACAAGTTTTAGGTCGAAAACCACTTTTAGCAACGAGTTTCGATGTCGGTCAGAACATGGCATAAATTTTTAGTTGCACGAAAACTTCGTGGCGGCAACATTATTGGTATTTTAATATAAAAGCAAAAATTGAACTTTATTCAATTAAAATATTAGCCGTCGTCGATTCGCCACTTCTCGCTCGCTATGTTTGAGTACCGGTTGATTAAAGAAGAATTTTGGATGTGAAAGCAACAACAAAGTTAGCTAGCACGGATAGATGATAGTGAGTTTGGTTGTACCTCATTGAGTCCGTTCGTTTCGCCACTCGCTAACGGCTGGCGAATCGATGACGGCTATTCGTTATTAAGTGCTTGGGTGCAAAATAGCCTACTTTCTAAAATTTTTAGCCATTCAATCTGCGTTTTAAAAGCTATCTTACAAATGCTTGTATCAAGATATAAGACGACCACACCAGGGTTGCGTGATTTTGATTTAGTCAAATCACAAATCCATAAATCAAATTTATTTCTGAATCGAAAGTCGCATCAAATCCTAAATAAATTTTATTTGTGATTTGATTCGTCAAGCAAATAAGAAATAAAATATATTTGTGATTTGCTTGGTCAACCAAATAAGGAATCTAATTTATTTGTGATTTAATTCGTCGACCAAATAAGAAATAAAATATATTTGTGATTTGCTTGGTCAACCAAATAAGGAATCTAATTTATTTGTGATTTAATTCGTCGACCAAATAAGAAATAAAATATATTTGTGATTTGCTTGGTCAACCAAATAAGGAATCTAATTTATTTGTGATTTAATTCGTCGACCAAATAAGAAATAAAATTTATTTGTGATTTGAATCGCCGCCAAATCAGAAATCAAATTGATTTGTGATTTGATTTGTACAGCGAATCATTGATTTGTCATTTTTCAGCTAAATAATACTCTTTTAGGCAACGCAACTACTTCGGGATATTTGGGACTATTTTGAAATTTTCGAGACTTTTTCGGTATTTTCTAGATTTTGGGACTAATTCCGTATTGTTGGGATATTTCTTCTTCTTTTTGGTGGTTTGTGTTTCCGACAGGGTAGGAGTATGATGTATTGTGGAACGATTTACCGTCATCCCTTGTCAAATTTGGTTTGGAGACAAACCGGTTTCGGCGTTGTGCCATCTTCAGTGTAATTTTTCGTTCTGAATAGTTCGTGCTTCCTTCCGCTTTTTATGTATACGTGTTACTATCTGTTTTAACTGTCATTAGGTCATGCATACCCATCTAAGTGCGACCGCTTTCGTTTCATTATCTCACAGGTAGGTGCTTTTTGGTTGCTTGTATTCGCCGGCGGGTAGAAATCCGTTATTTTTTTTTTACTTGGTTTTCGTGATTTCGTCGGTTTATGTTCCGTTATTTAGCAGGTATTAGGTTGCTTGCTTGTGCCGGCAGATAGAAATACGTTATTTTCATTTTCTTGGTCTCTGCGACGTAGGTATGTATCTTCGCGTTGGCGTTTTCCGAAAAATGACACTGAAGATGGCGCAACGCCGAAACCGGTTTGTCTCCAAACCAAATTTGACAAGGGATGACGGAAAATCGTTCCACAATACATCATATTTCTTCTTCTTTTTGTATTATTTCGGGATTTTCGAGAATTCTTCGGGATTTTCTTGACTATTTCGGGTTTTTCGAGACAACTTCGGTATTCTCGGGGTTATCGTGAAATACGGGACTACTTCGGGATTTTTGGAATTCGGATTTTTTTGGTAGTATTTCGAGTTTTTCGAGACCAATTCGGAATTTTTGGGAACAATTCGTAATATTTGGGCCTTTTTCGGGTTTTTCGAACTATTTCGAGATTTTCGGTGCTATTCCGGGTTTTTCGGGACTACTTCGAGATTTTCGGGGTCCTTGGGACCATATCGGGATCTTCGTGACTACTTCGGCATTTTTATGACCAATTAAGAATTTTTGGGACTATATCGGGATTTTTGGGAGTATCTTGGTATTTTTGGGATAACTTCGAGACTTTCGTGGTTTTCGCGAAAGTATCGGGATCTTCGGGGTTTTTGGGATAAATTCGGAGTTTTTGTGACTTTTTCGGGTTTTTCGAGACTCCTTCGGAATTTTCAGGATTTTGGGACACATTCGGTATTTTTGGGGCTATTTCTGAATTTGGAAGATTTTCTCGGGATTCTCAAGACTATTCCGGGTTTTTCGAAAATACATACTTCGAGATTTTCGGGAGTCTCGGTACGACATCGGGATCTTCGGGACAGCCTTGGGAATATTTCGGTTTCGTTTGGAGATTTTCAAGATTTTTGGGACTATTTCGGAATTTTTGGGACTATTTCGGGGTTGCTGGATTATTTCGAGATTTCTTCGGGATTTTCAGGACAATTCCGAGTTTTTCGAGGCTCGCGGGACAATATCGGGATGTTTGGGACTACTTCGGTGTTTTGGGACCAATTAGGAATTTTGGGGACTATTTCGGGTTTTTCGAGGTTTCTGAGGGTTTCGGGGTTCTCGGGAATATATCGAGATTTTTGGGACTATTTCGGGTTTTTCGAGATTTTTGGGGTTCTCGTGAATATATCGGGATCTTTGGGACTACTTCGAGGTTTTTGGGCTATTTTGGGAATTTTTGGAACTATTTCGGGTTTTTCGAGAATACTCCGAGATTTTCAGGATTTCTCGGACTATTTCGGAATTTTTGGGACAACTTCGATATTTTCGGTTTTCTTGGGAATATATCGGGATTTATGGTACTATTTCGGGATTGTTGGTACCAATTCGGAATTTTTGAAACGGTTTCGGGTTTTAAGAGATTCTCGGGATTCTCGGCTCTAAACTTTTCGACAAATTCAGGATTTTCGAGACTTCTTCGGTATAAGCCGTACGAATTCGGTGTTTTTGGAACTATTTCGGGTTTCTCTAGACATCTTCGAGAAGAAGAAATGCCGATATAGTCCCCAGAACTCCGTAAACCTCGGAAGTAGTCTCGAAAAACCTGAAATAAACCCAAAAATTGCTAATTGGTCCCAAAAATACCGAAGTAGTCTAGAAGATCCCGATATAGTCCCGAGAACCCCAAAAATCTTCAAGTTGTCTCGAAAACTTCTGAAAATCCCGAAATAGTCAAAAAATACCGAAATAGTCCCAAAATTCCCAATATATTCCCGAGAACATCAAAAATCTCGAAGTAGTCTCAAAAAACCCGAATTGGTCCCAAAAATACCGATATATTCGCGAGACAACGAAAATCTCGAAATTGTCCCAAAACTTTCGAAATAGTCGCGAAAATCTTGAAAATCTCGAAGTAGTCTCGACAAACCCGAAACAGTTCCGAAAATCCCGATGATCCCTATATAGGCCCGAGAAGCCCGTAAAACTCGGAAAACCCAGAATAGTCCCGAAAATCCCGAAGAAATCTCAAAATAGTCCAACAATCCCGAAATAATCCCGAATATCCCGATATATTCTCGAGAATCCCGGAAATCTCGAAATAGTTTCGAAAAACCCCAAATAGTCCCAAAAATTCCGAAATGGCCCCAAAAATTCCGAAGTAGTTCCTAGGATCCTGAGAACCCCGAAAATCTCGAAGTAGTCTCGAAAAACCCGAAATAGCCCCAACAACACCGAATTAGTCCCAAAATCCTGAAAAACCTGAAGAAGTCTCGAAAAACCCGAAGGAGTTCCAAAAACTCCGAATTAGTCCCAAAAATCCCCAAGTAGTCCCAAGAACCCCGAAAAACTCGAAGTAGTCCCGAAAATCCCGAAGATTTTCGTGGAACTCGAAGTTGGAAGATACTTCAATATCGCATTTGGGTTGCATAAAAAGGTAATATTTCGCTAAAAAATCACGAATACAATTGATTCGCTCTATAAATCAAATCACAAATCAATTCGATTTCTGATTTGGAGGCGATTCAAATCACAAATAAATTTTATTTCTTATTTGCTCGACGAATCAAATCACAAATAAATTTGATTCCTTATTTGGTTGACCAAGTAAATCACAAATATATTTTACTTCTTATTTGCTTGACGAATCAAATCACAAATAAAACTTATCTTTCATTTGGATGACCAAGCAAATCACAAATTAAACTAATCTTTTATTTGCTTGACCAAGCAAGTCACAAATAACATGTATTTCTTACTTGGTTGACAAATCAAATTACAATTAAATTTTATTTTTTATTTGGTCAACAAACCATTTGATATTAAACCAAAATAAGAATCTGTTCTCTATTGGATTATTTATGATTACGTTTTAGGAAATTATTCAGCAAGGTTTAAAGATTTAAATGTTTTTTAAACACCGAAATTGAGAGAAAGTTGTCTGGTGGCGTCATGCGGCAAATGCTTATTTCAAGACATCAAAGTGCCTACACACAAAAACTGGCAATCATATTGCTCGTCAAAATGACAGTTGGTAGGCCATCGGTGTTTGCCTGTGGAGTTCTGCGGTAACAATCGATCAAATCATCTCGGCCCGCTGCGGTCAGCGGTTGTTAAAACATCTCGATGGTTCTCTGTCGCAGACTCTGGAAACGAATTGCCAGTCGCGTTTAACATTTGATAACAATCGGCAAAAACCAGGGACCGTAACGGTTATAACTTTTATTATAAAAATCAATTTTTAATCGTTATTTACCGAGTTTTATTTTTTGCTCAAAATAGAACGATTAGTTTTTTGAGTTTTGTTTTAGCTCGGGAAATAATCGTTACGTTTTAAGTTTTATTTTTTGCTCGGAAAATAATCGTTACGTTTTAAGTTTTATTTTTTGCTCGGAAAATGATGGTTACGTTTTAAGTTTTATTTTTTGCTCGGAAATAATCATTATTTCTTGAGTTATATGTTTTGTTCAGAAAATAAAACTTAATTTTTGCGTATGCGTGAATAGATGGGGGCGCCGGCATTGATCTTTTAACGCCACTGTGGAGTGGGTAATGAAAATACAGAGAGCAAGATACAAGGGCAGAAACAAAAACAAGGGCAACGAAAAAACCACAGACACTCATGGGAAGGCATGGTATATTGATAGCTGCGGAACAAGAGACGAAGTTGCACAGCAATTCAACATTTTTGAATTTCGCCGGATTTAACGTGCACCGTCGAGATCGTGGGCGAGATAGTGGCGGTGGTTTAGCGTTCCTCACGCACCATACTGTGCAGTATCATCTTATCGAAGCAGACACCGACCGCAGGGATACCACCCTAGAATGTCAGGGATTGCTGTCCGGTCTGGCGATGTCGAGCTAGAAATATTTAACGTTTATATACCCCCTGTTCCTAGCTGCCCGGCAGGATATCACCTTGATATAGGGGCGCTCCTCAGAGGTGAAAACCGTATGGTAGTTGGTGACTTTAATGCGCCCCACGATCTTTGGTATTCAAGCCTGTCAAACGATCGTAGGGAACAGACTTGGCTGAGCAGATAGACGATTCGACATTCTACGCAATGAACGATGACGCACCCACCAGGATTATGGGCAGTTGCTGCAGCTCGCCAGACATAACAATAGTTAGCGCTGGTCTGATAAACAGCGTATCATAGCGACCTATGCTGACCTTGGCATCACACCATCTGCCCATAGTCATCTCGATCGATAAACCAACCTACTTTGCTTCCGCGGAATACCGGACCTGCATCAACTTTTCTAAAGCTGATTGGAAAGGCTTCGCGGAATTTCCTGAGAGTACCTTTGCTGCGCTCCCCACACCAACCGACGGCCACCGTGGTGGTCGTAAGTTTCGCAGGGTTGTCACTGCTGCTGTCCAAACTTCCCTGCTGAAGCGGCTGTTCTAGCCGATGAGTGTGAAAACCTTCGTCAGCCAGATCCCAGAAATCCCCGAATCAGGGATCTCAACGCGGAGATTCGGAAGGTTGTGAACGTACATAAGCGGAAGAAGTGGAAAGGGCATATGCAGGCTTGTTACTTCGCCTCTGGTGTGAGTAAGCTTTGGTCAGCCGTGAGGTCACTGTCAAATTCGACAAGGAACGATGACAGGGTCGAAATATCTTTCGACGACTATGCCTCGTCGGACCCGAGCGCGAGCTATTTTGGCCGGCAATTCATGCTGCATCCTCCGGCGGACAAAGCCAAGCGTGGAGTGACCAGAAGGCTGCCCAAACTGCCCACAACCTGTGCCGCTCTTGCTTTCACTAGCGGTGAAGGTCGGGTATCCATCGGGAAGGCGAAAGCCTCTCAAGCCACAGGGCCCGAAGGAGTATGCATGTTTATGCTGAAAAATTTGGGTTCAGCAGTCCAGCAAGGGTCAGTCTGTCAACGGGCACTCTCATCATTCCCACTGCTCAAACCGGGGAAACCAACCGACAAAGGAGAGTCTTATCATCCGATAACACTCCTTTCCTCGGTAGCCAAGACACTAGAGGCATTGTTACTCCCGTATTTCACAAACCACCAGACCGCAGCGAAGCATCAGCATGATTTCTGTAAAGTGCACAGTACAACAATAGCACCTAACGCCATAAACACGCAGATAATACGTGGCCTAAATCGCAACCGTCCCTGTGAGAGAACTATTCTAGTAGTGTTGGACCTGTCAAAGGCGTTTAATACAGTCAGTCACTCCACGCTGCTAGAAGACATAGAGACCTCCTCTCTCCCAAAGAGGCTCAAACGGTGGTCGGCGAATTATATAAGTGGTCAACACTCGTCAGTAATGAAAAATAAAACAGGGGGTTACACAGGCTGGTATCCTTTCCCCATTACTATTTAACTACTATATTTCAAAGCTCCCTCAACCACCCGAGGGACTCTCGATTGTCTCCTATGCAGACGATTGTTCGATAATGGCGTCTGGGATTGGAATTGATGACTTGTGCTCGAAAGTAAACAGTAATCTCTCCGAGGTCTCTCGCTTCTTTACTGATAGGAGCCTAACCCTCTCCCCTCGCCTAACCATGCCCTCGCTAAGGCATGTTAAAAGGCATCTTTACGAACTGACGGACGAAGTCCAGAGGTTCATAAAGCAACCGCCAAAAAAACGTAAGCGACATTTTTTTTTAAACTTTTTGACGCAGAATTGCGCTTACACTTTTTGGCGGTTAGGGCTCGATATCAGCAAAGGCGCTGAAGGTATTTTACCCAAAGTTACTGCATGTTACTTGTTTGGCACACAATGCACCGAATGGCCGAAGGTGTAAGAGGTCGCTTCAGTGATGTTGACGATTTAATATCGAATGGGAAGAAATATTTTTAAAATCTGCTTTGCGCTTTGAAGCTTTTAAGAACATGTATCCCAATATCGCTCTTCCGCTACAGCCAATATTAACAAGATGGGGAACCTGGCTAGAGGCGGCAAAATATTATTGACTTAATTTTAAGAAATTTCAAACTTCTGTTAAAGATCTAAATGATAGTGAAGCTTCCTCAATATTGAAGGCGAAAAAGGCAATAATTTCAAATTCGATTGAAGCGCGGTGAGCCTATATCAATGCAAACTACAGCTTCTTGTCGGAAATAATAACTATTTGAAGCAAAAAATCATTGACTAAACGAGTGCATCTTGTGGGGACTGCTGTTACTACTATTCAAGGAGAGTAGGGTGAACTTGGGGGAAAAAATCAAGGAAAATTGGATACCATTCTACAAAAAAATAAGGGGTTTACGGAACTTAAGGGAGTATCTGGTGTGTTAAGTAGCCAAATGGCCGGAAGTGAAAGCTTTTCAGCAGCGATCACACGACTTGTACATTTGTACAGATTTGTATAATTTGGCAGTTATAGAGTGGTGTTGTCTGGAAATTCTTTTATTGAGCAGAACTCAAATTTCAAAACAACACCACCATGTGACTGCCAAAATTTACAAATCTGTACAAATGTAAAAATCGTATGATCTCTGCTTAATAGCTATAATCCCAATGAACTAGCTTGCTTCAATTACGCACCAATCAGCAGTGTTGACGTAGAAAGAACGTTCTCTTTATACAAAACAGGGCAAGTTTTAACTTTGAAAATTTTAAAGAACTAGTTTGCCAATAAAGCCCTGAACACAACAAATTAAAAATTATGGAAAATAAATATGTACTTTTAATTTATTGTAAATAAATTTTTTACTTTTACTTTAAGTGCTTAATTTTTTTAACACATATTTTAGATATATATTTAATTGATTTTGAGTTTTTCGTGGCACTAAAAATTAAAATATATCCTTGTGTCAGTTATAAACTTGTAATAAAATCTGAAAAGTAAATAAAAAAAATTAGAAAAGCAAAACAAATGCGAGAAGCCTTTTTGCATATTTTGTTTGTTTTTAGTGCATACTTTTGAGATGTTAGTGCATATTTTTGATTTTTAGTGCACATTATATGCGCATAATCTCGATTTTTTGTGCATAAAAATTCGGGCCCTACATATAACTACGTATGTAACTATCGTCTTTTAAATGAAAATTTCTGTTGGCCATTTGGTACAAAATTATAAAACTCAATTATCATCCCTGTGCCGCAGTATTCGGCACACTATAAAAGATGTAGAAGCTTATGGTCTGATTATGGCAACTTAACGTTATTTACAGGCTCTCATTTGAAAATTCTCTTAAAGGGATGTTGCTTATAATTGAGAAGCCGAAACTTAACGTAACTTAATACCACGTCGAAATCCGTTTCATTTTAGTTTCTAGGTTCTAAGTTCCGCTAAGTTAAGTTAAGTTGCCATAATCAGGCTTTTAGACGTAGAGAAGCGTCAAATGGAATGTTCGATAACTTTCAATAATCAGGGCTATCACTTAAGCTGAAAGTATATAATATTATTTGCTGCAGCGTTGCGTTGATCCTTTGGTGCGTTGACGACGTTGAAAAATTTGCTGTTACAAATCTTGCGTCGCACAGTGTTTCGACTATATGGAGGCAGGTAGAAAAAAGTCATGGTGACAGTTGATAAAAAAAACCGGTTGGACTTAGAGAGGGAAAAGTAAAAGTCATAAATACCAAATTTTACATTATTTACTCACCGCCTTTTTCACGAACGATACATTTTCAAAAAAATACGGGAATGAGCGCGATACCGACTAATCAGTTTAGTTGCCTATGGCGATTAACCCATTAAAGAAAAAGTTTCTTTTTCAACTGTAATCAATTATTTAAATGTCGTGGAATATTCAGGTGAAGGTATTTATCATTTATTTGGTATTTTCCTATTTTCTTACCAAAAAATTAACTTTGAAATGCAGATGCTAAAGATTATTAGTAAAAAAAATTGTGAGTACCGGTCCGACAGGTCTTGAAATAAGACGAATATTTTAGAGAATTTTATGTAGTTTTCGAATATATAATTTGATCTTTGCGCGCGAATTTGCAAATATATGTAATTTTTAGTTTTCTTAATTTTTGATTTTCAGCTTCTTTTTACATAATTTCCCGAAAAGAATTTTTCGAACAATGAAAAAATCTCACCAAATATTGGGAATAAAGCGAGTATTTACACCTGAGTCATTTCATAGTATAACCTTCGTTTTCTGGGAGTGGAAAGCAGGAAACGAAAATTAACTAAAATTCCATCACATTTAATGACTGGGACCACATTTTTGTGAGTTTTGCACGTTATAGTGATCCAATCTTCCCCATATTTTATATTTAGGTTTTTCTAATAAAATAAAGACCACAAACTAAATTTCATCGAAATCGGATGAAATTTAATGTTTCCGCCACCAAGAGTAGAGGGCGTGGCAATTATTCCATGTTTACAAAATTTCATAATTCTCTATTTCTAAGCAAAACTAGAACACACGTCAAGTTTCAGTGAAATCGGTGCAGGTGTACTATTATTTCCACCTGCCTCCATATAGTCGAAACACTGTGCGTCGTGCCGCTCATTGTTTTGTAAACAAAACACAGCTGATAAGCATATCCACAAATGTTATTTCAAATGTCAACGCATGAACGCAACAGAAAAGTAGCGAGTTGGATTACTTTCGACCAAAGAACGTAGATAACAAGAAGAGACAACTCGTTATAATTGTGGCGAAAGTGCGCAACAGG